ATAGTTCTCTTCTAAAGACGCACTTTACGACCGTGTTTCACTTGCAAGCAGTGGCGTGGCGTGAATTGCGATATATCGATTGTAATGTCATTTAAACCTATGGTAAAGAATCGATTATTAAGGTGTTCGCTGCGAACACTCTGTTTATCGATCCTTTCCCATAGGTTTAAATGGCATAACAATCGATATATCGCAATTCACGCCACGCCACTGCTTGCGAGCGGAGCTGCCGAATAAGGCTGTTGCACACAAGTTACACACTGCCGTGCTAAGGAAGAACAATGTATGAACATTTGAGAGTTGCCAAATTTCCTCCGATAAAATGTTTATTTTTTCAGAAAATTATGAACTTTTTTCCTTGAAATATTTAAAAGCTCTAGAGGAAGTTGCCAAAAAAAATTACTCAAAAAATTGAATTATTCGGTGTATCAAATTTTTCTTTTATTAAAAAAAATTTGGCCATGTCTGAAGGTTTATACGGCATTCTTCTCTAGCACGACAGTACAGGCAATTGCGTAGACATTTTATGAGAAAATTGCAGAAAAAGCAAGTTGAACTTATCGGAAATAACCAGAATGAGCTTCTAGACGAGGTATAGCGTATGAAGCACAACGCTACACAAAGTGTTTTCTCTTCAAAATTCCACGAGGAAAACGAATTTCAAGAAGGGAAGTATGAAAATCAACTCCTGAAATAGATATAAAAGTTTTCTGTTAACATTGGTGAAAGAATAAAAATGCAAATGACGTCCTTTGTGTAATCGAACTTCCGTTTGGTCTGTGTTTAAAAGACTTGTTAGTACCTCGTTTAGGAGTTGATTTCAAAACTTTCCTTCCTGTGAAGTGTTTTCGATGTAAAAGTTTGAAGAGAAAACACGCGACGTTTTCTCCTACTTTGGACCGTGTCCAATAGCCCACTCACCTCTTGTGTAGTTTCAAAATTACCGCCAAATTTGGCTTTTTTTTAAAAATTGCTGGTTGTCAGATTTGCTGTGAGGAAGATGTTAAAAAACTGCATAAATAAGCAAATACTCTCATAAACTGTTTTTCACGTGTGATTTCAACAGTTTTCAAGCATAACATTTAATCTACCGTACTGAGGAAAAATACCGTAAGACTATTCGAGAGTCGTCAAATTCCTTCCGATAAAATGTTTATTTTTGAGGAGGGTTATTTATTTTCCTTTGAAATATTAAAAAAAAATTAGATCTAATTGCGAAAATGATTTTCTAGAAAAACATGAGAAAAATACCTATACAAATGCACTATTTATCAATGCTTATAATAATGCTCAAAATTATCATAAATGGCAACGTCCGAAGGTTTATACAACGTCCTTCCCCAGCACGGCAGTATAATACCCGTATTTCTTTAAAGGAAATGCTGCAAAATTATCAAAATTGTATGTAAAAAAACATAGTAGCAGTTTGCATGATAGGTCTTCTTTTATCTCTTTTTAATTTAAGGGAAACCTAATTGCCAACGGCGAAGAAAAAAAGAGACAGAAGTGAACTAGGAAATTTTGAAATATGGGATACAGACTTAGGATGTTGTTACAAACAATAAGCAGTAATTCGAGTACTACCTATCAGAACCTCATTTTGTCCGGGTGAAGACAAGTTTTACGGTGACGCGTCCGTGCAGGATGACCTCGCATCGCCCGAAGTTCCTTCAATTCAGTGGGTATGCAATTTGATCTCCGGAGAGTTAAAATAGTTGCTCGCATCGCGCCTTCGTCCATCGCTGCTTTTGAGTGACTTCCGGTACAATGTATGTTAGCAATGGAATCGATTTTACGTTTCGGTCTAAAGTGAGCGTCAACGGGAACAAGAATATTAGTCCCATGGGCAAAATTCTAAATAGGGAAGAATTGAAGCTTGAGGTAGTGATGAGAAAGTCTTGTCTCAGTGTCTTTAAGAATAAGGCGTGGGCAGTTCCATTATTTTTGCGCCGGAAATGGGTGTAAAGTAGCCCTAATAATCTGGTATTTTCGTATCCTGCATGAGAATGACAAATTATATAGAATTTGAAATATATTTTTCTTGATTGAGTTTGTTTGTTTGTTTTTTTCTTCTTTTTTTTCAATTGCAAACTTGAAACCATCACCTAGTTCCGATTTGGTTTGACATTTTTTATTTTTTCAAATATTTTTCTTGGTCCTAGTTTTGTCCTATTTTGAGGACGTACCTTCTCGCTATAGCTGCATGAATAATTCGAATGGACGTATTTCTGCCAATTGGGACTAAGAACCATAGGGGGAGGAAGGTAGAGGGGAGCTTGGATTGGCGGCGGAACCGGGCGCCGGGCTCATTCCGTCCTATACTCGCAATGCCTTTCCATGGCGCTTAGTTCCGTTTGATAGAATGTGCTATCTCGCATTCTGAATGGACCACTAGACAAGGTACGAATTCCAGCATTCTGATACATGTTTCTTACCTAAAATTTCGCGTAGAACACGATTCACACAACGAAAATTGCTGGAACCAATTCCTAACGAAGATATTAACGTTTTTATTTCACATTGGTTACGAGGAATTTGAACTGCCCGCTCACAAGAAACTCAAAGCTCTACGTGAGTCAAATCGCGCACTACAACGGTTTTAACAAGCTTCTCAATCGAGCAATGTTCATTTTCCACCATGTGTTGTTCAAACTATAATCAATTGGCTACAGCTGAGCCAAAGCGTCAAGATTGAGGTTGCCAGATTTTTATATCGCAGAGACTCATGATAACGTTTAGCCCACGATGTGAATCACGCAGAGCATTGAGTTTTCATGAGTGGGTGGTTTGAATTCACGCACCAAGAATCATTAAATATCTTTGGAAGGAGTTGATTTCGGTAATTTTCGTTGTGTGCGTCGTATTCTACGTGAAATTTTACTTAAGAAACATGTATCAGAATGCTAAAATTCGTACCTTGTCTAGTGGTCCATTCCTCAAAAAGGAACTCAAATTTGCGCTCAGTTCCGTTTGACAGAAATACGTCCAAAAGTAAGTTTTTGTAGACTAAGATCCCTTTTCTCGCAAACGGTGCATGTGTGAAGGTGGCATGGAGTGCATTAGGCGCATAAAGCACCTTTTGAGGTGGGGTTGGGGCCTCGGAGTGGCCAGATAGGAACATCTTCGCCTCTATTTAGCCCGTAATTACGATTCTTAGACCCAGAGTAATTTTTCAGCACGGTGGCTGTCAAGAAAAATCGACCTGTCTCGCACCACCGAGGCTTATCGAGCTAATGCACCATTAAACAGTTTCTGCCGAGAATGGAAACGTTTTGCGGAGCCCGCTCGGCGCACGGCGAAAGAGCCAACCATAGCGAAGTCGAGCACCCTTCTCTCCGCGATGCAAACAAACTTTTCTCGAAAAATAAGGGAAAAGAAAAAAAGAAGAAGTCGAAGAAGAAGAAAACTTTGACTCGTTCATTTATTTTTACGGGTATCAGCGCCATCGCCGTCACGGGAGTCGGGACGCCGAAGTCTTAAAATCGAATCCGATTGACGGGAAGTTCTGATACCCACCACCCCCTCCCCCCGGGCGCCCCCCTTAATGAGCAGGAAAGTTTCGAGACGACAAAAATGAAAAAAAGAAAGACGAAGAAGAAGGAAAAACCCACGACGCTCACGGATCGATGACGCTTCGAGTCAACAGTTGAGTTGCATTTCACGCCTTTTACCGCCAACCCCCCCCCCACTCCGGTCCTTTCATCCCCTGTCCTCTCCTCCACCACCCCCTCTACAGCTTCCAATACTGTCTTGTGGTGATGCCAATTTTCTGCGGGGAGTTGCCTGAATTAGGGTTTCGTAAGTCGAACTTCGTTTGTAAGTCCAACTCTATGACAAACTTTATTCTTGAGTTTTTTCCTCTGTTTTTTCATTCGAATGTTTCCCGTTAATTTCTCGGAGCTTGCTTTGAAGTTTGTAACGTGTTCGTTTAATTAAAGCCGCGAGAGCTTCGAGGAAGCCTGAATGTAGGAACTTATCAGAACGGGAACTGAGAAGTCACTTTGCAGAACACAGCTTTTTAAAAAGAAAGTTTCGCAAAAGTGCGTGAAGCTTTGAGCTATTTAGCAACCTTTTGGTTAATGATCCTGCCAGTTACCTATACATGATATGCAATGTAAGGGCTGCAAAATTTAAGATGAAATTTTTTTAAATTATTTTATTTATTTATTGAATTTTAATATGAATTTTGCGTAGTAGCAAAGTTGATGTTGGAATGATTTTGTAAACAGTATGAAAAACCTCAGTGCTAACCGAAGAATCACGATTTTTTATTTTAAAATTTCAGAAAATCAGAGGATCTGACGAACGAAAAACGAGCGAGTTCTACCTAGATCTAGTTGTTATTTTTTCCCTGAAAAATTTCAATTTACAAGTCAGACTATTTTAATACACGGTTTTTTTTTACAATTTTCAAAGGAACTCATCCAATAAGACGGACAAAATTACATTTTTTAAGACTCCGCCATACTGTCTTCGAGTTGAGACGCGTATACGTGGCTGGGACTAGAGTACCTTAATAGACAGAGTATGGCCATTCGTATCTTTTTACTACAGGAAAACTGTTCCGCTTTTTGATTGGTCAACGAGTTTTTAGGCTTCATGATGCTCTTAGGGTCGTAAATAAACAAACAAGATGGCGACTCACCGTAACATCGATAAGAAGCTAAATTTGACAAAAATTTCAATTATACGGCAGTAACAATTTAAACTAGCATATCTACGAATAACACACGAAAAAAACACGAAAACATTGTTAAGTCGCCTTTCACCTTTATCTTAGGAGGATGTAAGATGTGCATAACCTCAATCTTGCTTGCTGATAACAGCCATCTTGTTTGTTTATTTACGGCCCTAAGAGCATCGTGTCAGCCTATTCGCTCGCGACCAATGAAAAACCGGAACAGAAATGGCCATACTCTGTCTATAAAGGTACACTAGCTGGGACGGCTCCGAAAATGCATGTCTCATCGATTTGGGGAGCGCTGCGTGTTGCCGATGTTCCAGGCGTCCAACAGAGCACCCCGCCGTTTCACGAGGGGGAGGTGGTCGTGAAAAGGGCGATTTCCATTCAGCTCTGCTGTCCTTTGGTGCCGGTCCCTTGACGGGCGGTTGTTTTCTGGTAGAGCTCCGTCATGGCCTCTTTTTCAAGTCGATACACGAGCCAGTCCTCCAATTCCGAGAGGCTGATCGCCCCTTTGTGGTGGTAAAACTCCCGGGCCCCCGAGTTCCATTTAGTCACGTGCCAGTCGATCTTCGCGCACCCCGTTTCCACTGCGATCTGCAATAGAGGAAAAAAAAATTGAAAGTCGGATAAAATCTATACTGCGGACTGATTATTAAAATTAATGGACGAAGCTATAGACAAAGAGACATAGGGAGTATTAAAATTTCACGTAGAACACGATGCGCACAACAAAAATTACCGCAATTAACTCCTTACAAAGATATTTAATGATTCTTGATGCGTGAATTCAAACTACCCGCTCATGAAAACTCAATGCTCTACGTGATTCACATCGCGCGCTGAACGTTATCACGACAGTCTCTGCGATATAAAAATCTGGCAACCTCAATCTTGACGCTTTGGCTCAGCTATAGCAAATTGCTAATAGTTTGAACAACACATGGTGGGAAATGAACATTGCTCGATTGAGATGCTTGTTAAAACCGTTGTATTGCGCGATTTGACTCACGTAGAGCTTTGAGTTTCTTGTGAGCGGGCAGTTCAAATTCCTCTTGATCAGTGCGAAATAAAAACGTTAAAAGCTTCGTTAGAAGTTGATTTCGGTAATTTTCGTAGTGTGAATCGTGTTCTACGTGAAATTCTGGTTAAGAAACATGTATCAGAATGCTTAAATTTGTACTTTGTCTAGTGGTCCATTGCAAAATGTAGTCCAATAAATCTCGACATTCCGAGGACCGAGGCCTCATTTCCCACGAACGATCAGAAATACATGTGTATATGGGTCAATACTCAACGCCCACACGGATAACCGATAACCGGCAAAGCTATTTATCAAGGAGTTTTTTTCCCCCCTCGGAAGACTGATCCATTTCCTGAGGCTGAGACTTATCATGGAAGCCGCGGCCGGAGATGACGAGGGTTTCGGGTTGCCAGATCGTGCGATATTTTACAAGGGTTTGAATGGGGGAAAGTGCTGAAAAAGCGTTAAATCTGGCAACAGTGACAGCGTCTAAGTCTCCGAGTGCAGACGGGCGCGGAACAAGACGTGTGACGAGACAAGGATAAAGTTGCGTGCCAGGTGACGAAAGCGGTGACAGTCCGCGGTGCAAGGCTCGCACCCTATCGCGGCGTGAGTGATCGAAAGCAACCCCTTTCGCCCCACCACCTCGCCCCGCGCAGCCAACTTGTTCCTCGCTCAGCGTGCCAAGACGCTACGATTAATTGATTATCAAGCCGATAATCTTTTAGCCGGCTGCGGTCGCGTGGCCAGGAAGGGCGGTTGCCAAAATGGACGGAAAGGAACGGATGTAACCCTTTTGCGAGAGACGTATTAAATCGTCGATTCCAGGGGGCCGATTATTGAATTTGATAGACAAAGCTATGGACAAAGACGACAAAAGGGATTTGGAGGGATCCTATTGGTGGAAGCAGGTGGTGGCAGTGGACATAGGCGGTAGGTAATGGACTAACTAACGGCAACCCGCTAAAGACCCGACAGTTAGTCCATCATTTTCTTCCTTAGTCTATGACAACCAACCATGTCAACCAATAAGATCGCTCCATACTCCCTATGTCTTCTTTGTCTATCGCTTTGTCCATCAATTTCCATAATCGCCCCGCTGGACGGAGGAACGTAGCTTTATTTCAAAGTTGTAAAATTCGTCGTTTTTACCACGAAGGAGCGTAACTGCGTTACAATATTACCGGATCCTTCCACGTAAATTGCATTTTTATTTGGAAAATTTTAGGAATATTCTGACTAAATTTTTTAGTACCTGTATTTTCTCCGACGAAAGAACGTAATTTCATTTCAAGGTTGGAAAGTTCGTCGATTCTACTACGAAGGAACGTAATTACATTTCAATGTTGCCGGATTTTCCCCGGAAATTGCATTTTTATCGTGGCCTGCGGGCCGATTATTGAAACTGATAGACAAAGCTATAGACAAAGACGACAAAAGGGATTTGGAGGGATCCTATTGGTGAAAGCGGGTGGTGGCAATGGACATGGGAGGTAGGTAATGGACTAACTAACGGCAACCCATAGGAAACCTGACAGTTAGTCCATCATTTTCTCACTTAGTCCATGAGAACCACACATTTCAACCGATAGGGTCGCTCCATGGCCCCTATGTCTTCTTTGTCTATAGCTTTGTCTATAAATTTCAATAATCGGCCCGCAGGCAAATTTGGCATCAACATGTTTTTTCGGGAACTCTGGTTTAGAATCACCTTACACCGTCTTTTCCGGATGTAATCCAATAATCTGACAACAGGAAGAGCAACGTCGCGGAGACGCACGTAAGACACCCTTGCGTCGTGATGTTTGATCGGGGAGGCGTCAGTGTCGTGTGGGGGAGGGGGGGGGGCTGCAG